TATCACAGCCCTTAGGGACTTCACGGGATGGAGACAATTTATACAGATGTCCTTGCTTTTAACACACATCAGGCCTCATCTCCCCTGCTTAGTATCCAGCAGAGACTATATAAACATCACAGTTCTAGTCACAAGAGCCAACCAAAATTCAAGTGTGTATAAAAAGGACTTCATCCAGCTCCTAAACACTGCACAGATACTTCAGTGAGTCCTTCCTAAAATGAGAAGAGAGACTGCAGGTCAGTCTAATGACTTACACTGACCCTCTGTCAAGGTTTTCTTCATGGGGAGTGTAAAGTCTGTGCAGATTTCATTCCAGCATGCAATGCTAAAAACAATGAATAACCAAGATAATAGGAAAAGCAAGAAAGTTCAGTTTAAAGAAGACTACAGTTATCCAAACAGCATGCTTTTTAAAAACCCTGTTCCTCTTTTCAGTGAGTTTTCAATCTAAATCTGGAAATCAACACAAGCATTCATAGCACCTTCTACTTCAGATGAGCAACAAAGCCATCAAACTAAAAGGGAAAGGTCATATATTTTGTGCATGCCTGAGGAATGACGCTGTTTGTACGGTGATGGCAACAGATTTTGCTCAAGTGGGAGTTGGAAACTTTGCAAGACAACATTGTTTTGAAAAACATGGAAAGGACATCCATATGGATGCACATGGGTACAAACTGACGTAAGTACGAAGCAGCCCCCTAATCGATCAAGGTTAAAGAAAAACTAGCAAAGTAACACGCACATCCTTCCAGTCTGCACTACTTTGGCTTAACTGTTCATTCATGATTGCTCTCTGATGCATGTTCTTTCATGATTTGCCCCCACAACCCTCTTTTTACCCAAATGAAATCCCTCTCACACTCCAGCTTCATGTGCCACCTCTTTCACTTCCTCATCTAATGTAGGAGCCTGGCAGGAACCGACCTACGTGCTTTGTCCATCTGGAGTCACACAAACCATGCCTTTCACCAAAAATGTGTAAAATTTAGCAGTTTTAATACAATGCTTATACACATGGCACATTCAGACATCCCCAGAGGTTCCTTGAACGTATGTTATCAACGAGCAGAGCAAGGCGAAAAGCACCACAGGAGGCTCAAAGCAAGCCACAGAAGCCCATATCCATGAGTCTAAAGGTAACACTGCTTAAATTCATGTACAGAGAGATGGTTTTCTGTTGTAGTTTGGAGCCCCTGAGTAAATGGCCTGGCTGTGGATTTTGCTGTGCTTCAAAAAATGGGCTATGGGCAAGGTGTCTAGAGGCCACATTGAGGTCATTTATCAAACCCTTACCTTGCCTCCCGCAATCAAACTGTGCCCATCCAGTGTGAAAGCTCTTTGCATCCTTCCTTAGGATGAACTGTGTGACACAAATCCACCCCCTTCTTCTCCACTCGGAAAAGTCAGTCTCCAGTTTTCACAGGGAACGTATTCCTGCCCAAACTTATATACACAATCAATGTCCTGGTTTTGCTATGAATTTATCAATATAGGAAATTGTTCTTTTAAGTTACAAGAGCAAAAAGATACTTCACTGCAGCTTTCTAAAAACTTCGTCCTTATTACATGAATTTTGGATAATAACGTTCCAAACGCGAAGATTTTTTTTTTTCCTAAACTTATCCAGACTGAAAATGCAACTTTATAAGCCATTATACCTTCTCCTCCAATACGGAGGAAATGTACTATAAATATTTTCTGCCCCTTGACAGTTCTTTGCTATTTTCTTCAGCTGTGAAGCAGCCTGGATATCTGCCATACTTTCTGGTGTGCAAGAATAGCATGCCCTGCACCCAAGAAGAAGTGACAGATTTTTACAATGGTCTGCAGAGCACAAGTGTGCTTTCTTCAAACCTCTCAGAATTGCACTCATTTACAGCATATTAACTCAACAAAATATGCTCAACATAATACTCAACAAAAGTGAGTGTATAATCATATACATACACTCCATGAGCAAGAAAAAAAAAAATCTATGTTTATATTAAAATCACAATTTTTTTCCCCTGTTCTCTATAAGAAAAAATCAAATGGCATTTTGAACACACAAGAAAAGAAGGAACTTCTCTTGTTTACCATCTGTTATGCTTTAAATAGTCCATTGTTTAGTAATGATGGCAATAGATATGCTGCCTCTTAGCAAAAAAACCCCAAGCCTCATTATAAATCAAAGCATAATGCCTTTTGGACATTTAAGGCTCGTGGCACAATGTGCAGTAAAATCCGCTCTCATTTATTAATTTTATACTTGCAGTAGGAATCATGCAAGTGTATGAATATTTTTATTGCACACAAAACAAAGCTGTATTTGTATATTTTTAATTGTAAACTCAGTTTCTTTTTCAGGAAACAATAAGCAGATCTTATGAAAATAGCTCAGCACTGAGGAGGAAGCACTTTGTAGGCATTACTCATGTTTTCAAGGAATGAATAGCAATTCCCCTGAATTCTGTGAAATGCTAGGGGGAAAAAAAAAGTGAATCCAGAAATGGCCAGATTCCTGAGAAACAGAACATGCGATATTACTACCACTCTGCCACCCAGCTGCCTTTCACACCTAATCCATGTTCCTCAACCGTCAGAAAGATGCCTCCCTCCTTTTGCTGTAATCAAGGGTTTCTTAAAAAATATATATATCTTCACAAACAAAGCGGCTGTCATTTTCCTTGTGGTGACCGATAAAGTGAAATGTCAGCCAAAGCTGTGGCTTTTAGACTTTCACCCATATGTAAACGCAGCAGAAAATGGTCTGTTCGGTTTCTAGATGAAGCAATTGTAGTTTCCCAACCTGAGCAGCGATCATCACAGTTATTGCCTCAGAGGCTGGCTTAGTCACGTTGGCCTAGCCAAAACTGCATCAGCCCAGTGGCACTCCTACCGGGGCCTCCGAAAAAGACCGGTTAACTCCTTCAGAGGCAGCGGTCATTGCTGCCGAGCTGGCTGCACTTTTGCTGTCAGGCATCGGTGTACAGCCTTGTGTGGTCTGGGTGCCTCTGAAGATGGCTGTAGGCTGACCACGCTGGTACGTCCAGTGGTCACGTGCGCTCTCATCCCCTCTACTTGCGCTTGCTTGAAAGATGTGCTGGTATCCTGCGTAAGCAAACATTTTATTTTACAGCTCTGTGGCTTTGGAGGCAGTGATGCTCAGGGCATTCTGCACCATTAATCCACAGCGCAGAACCAAGGCTCTTCTCATTTTCACAACCAGAGCACTTTTCGGTTTAGCATTTGGGGATGTATCTTTGCCTTTCTGAATTCTCAATGAAGCAATACATGGACTTGCCAGGACCTTGCTGCTCTCTGGATAATAAACATATGAAGCCTTCTGTGCAACAAGTCTGTTATTGTTTCAGTAAGAGTAGCAGTGCATGCTTTCCCCCTGGGGTACAGCAGCTAATGCTCTTTGAGCTCTCTTGCTTCTGCTAGTCATCAGCATCAAAATTTATACCGGCTTCACAGTGTGCTGAAATTGGGGGGGGCGGGGGGGGAAGGGTATCATGGTACTGTGTTCAGATGCAGGAAAAAAAAAATGCACCAATGAGTCCTGGATGTCTTGTGCAGCTGCCAAATTCATTTTGCAGATACAGATTCGACATCTAAGATCCCATGCCTAATGTGATTCACACACTGCATGCTAAACCACAGAGCCACGTGGCAGTGTTCATCATTGATGAAGTTGCCTTGATAAACAGGTCACGAATGCATGACGTTTGCATTATTTTCCCCTTTTCATTACGAACTAAAAAACCTCATGGAATAGAAGTGTCATTCCAGCTGTCCCATAAAGACAGTTCTCCTGGGTTTGAAAGCACCTTACATGTTTCCCATAGCCAATGTTCTCACTTTTCCAGTACCGCCCTTTTACATTGCATGACAGTCTTAAGATGGGCATATATCTTATTTACATAAAGTGTAATCCAGATGAAAATCGGGTACAAAGCATTTGGCTACGACCAGCACTTGCAATCACGTACCTGGAATTTATGAAATAGCATCTTTTGAAATGCAGAGATTTAAAGTTCCTCCAGCAAACAGTACGGGGTTCCCACGAACGGATTGTCACCGCCCTAAACATGACAGTTTTTCCCGGCTTAAGCTTTGCTCCAAGGTTCCAGCCCCATTTGATATCATGCCAGCGGCTTCTCCAAAACATGGCGAAACAGCAGTCCAAGTTTTCACATACATTATGCTACTAAATTAATAACTGAAAAATAAGATTGATTTCTTATCTCAAACTCTCTTAGAGATATCTATGATGCCTGCTTAGTTTGTCTTCCCCTATACTTGAAGTCTGGTGGCTTCTTCCCCATGACTGACTGAATTTTTTTTTGAATGCAAGCCAAGTCAAGTAAATTTGAGTATCTTCTCAATTACTCGCATTTGCGGTTCAGTATGAAAGCTATATTTGTCTCTTGGTGATGACTGTCAAGTGAAGCCTCTTGTCACAATATAAGTTCTGAAATACGGATACTTCTCTGAATCACTGCTTCTGAATTTAAAACAAGTGTAAATGAAAAAGCACCTTTGTAGTCTTTACCCAATCCCTTACTTCATACCCCAGCTGGATCCTGCACTACAAAATCTTTAGTAGCACTTTGCTTAACCTTGGCAGTCACTCTCTCAGGGAGGAAAAAGCAGGGAAGAGAAGGAAAAACCAAGATTCCACTGAAAAGTTTCCCTGCATAAAGAATTCAGGATATGTAGGAGCACATTCAGCCCTTACAGCACACAGCTAGGAAATAAGAAATGCAATACCTGGTTTCTACGCTACAGTTGCCTTCTTGCAGTGCGATCTGGTTATATCCTTAACCTTACTTTTTTTTTTTAGTCCATGCATTTCCCT